CTAAAACCCATTTTTCATTGGTGTAAAGGGGGCAAAGGCAGGTTTTGGTGTGGCAAGTGATGAATGGTTAGTGGGAGGGAATCCATCTGCTGCATCAACACAACGGAAATGGGATCGTCCACTGATAAAAAATTGCACACAGAGAGACAAGCCTAATTCACACACAAGACCAAAACTCACTGTAGAGTACAAAAGAGTGAGTGAGTGTATGTGTCTGTGTGTGAGTGTGTGTGTCTGTGTGTGTGTGTGTGTGTGTGTGTGTGTGTGTGTGTGTGTGTGTGTGTGTGTGTGTGTGTGTGTGTGTGTGTAGAATTCACTAGTGGCTGTGGGCCATCCTGACTAAATACCAACTATCTATCATCTGAGATATTTCATACTTCCTCTATTCAATAGGCCAGAATGATTTATGTAGTGTCTCAGGCAACTTTGCTATAGAATGATGTTGAGGTTTAGGAATATAGACAATAATATATGTTAAGTTATTTGGGTTTTCAGATTTGAATACACAATAAAATAAAATACAATATCTCAAGACAGTTTGAAAACACGTTAACGTTTTTCCTGATATGCTTGAGTGTTAGGTTTGGGAAATTCAGTTGCACTATATGCAATAAAATTGTATTCAAAAATCTCTTTTTCTCAAAAATGTGTTTATTGTTGCTCTGGATGTTTGACCTTCACTGTGCATGCAGGATGATGTATGTGCAGAGTTTAAAACTAATAATGTTTTCACATTCATCTAACGAAGATGGGAAGTTTCTCTGTGCTCCCCTTAAATTGGAGTTTAATATGTGTACATATGAGTGTGATTTTCTGACATCACAACAACTTTGAAAGCCAGTCATCAGTGGCGGTTCTATCATGAATGACACCCTGGGCGAGACCAAATTCAGCACACAATCCATGTAGAAAAGCTTTATTTTTAATGTAGCTCAGAAATACTGACGTATGGCTGCTGACGTATTAAACCAGACCATGATCTTCCCTTAACCTTAATTAGGTGCTACAAGTGTCTAAACATAACACATAAAAAGTATAATAATGCTGAAGTCACTCCAAGTGGATATTGTATTGCAAGATCGGATATTCTGACAGATTTTTGCAACCTGACAGAGATGTTAAATGAAAGTTTTTCTAGTTCTGTTCATAGAAAAGTTTTTTTTTCTTTTGGAAACAATTTCAATAAATCAGTGCATTGTCAACGTTTGACTCCAAAGTCAGCTTTATTGTCAATTGCTTCACATGCACCAGACATACAAAGTAATCGAGGGGACGTTTCTCACTCTCCCACGGTGAAACAGATAAAGTGCACAGGCACAAACAGACAAGACATATCCTAATACTAAAAGTAAACATTCAATTTCACAGCTGGTATGACATTTACTAAGGCTAAAAAGATTAAGAAAGATAGACAATAAAATATAAAATATACAATAATATTAAATATACAATACTTATGGTAGTGCAAAAAAAGGCAGTTGGTAATGGCAGTAACAAACATTAACAGTGCAAAAAGAACAGTCAGTGAAAACAGTAAATAGAAAATAGCAATTAAATAATTGCTATTAAATAGCAGCCAATTTAATAGTAATAGTGTAATAGACAGTTTGTTCAAGAGTCCAGAGTGGGGGGGGGGGAATCAGCTTTCTGACAGTTTGGCATTTGTTTGGCAACTCAAAAAGCAATGCGAGACCACTCACTTTGGGGGACACTGCTGCCGTCTTTTCTACACTCACAGCAATAGTGAGTTTTTGAGGATGCTCAATACGAATGCGTCAAATTTAAATGCTTCAATTGAACAAATAAATTTATTTGAAATGATAAAAGTTAAAGTCAACAATAATCATATTCAGTTCCATGTGACTGGTATTCAAATTAAATACAAATCTGCATGTACTAATCTTGCCATACTGTATGTTTTCATCCTTAATTGTATTAAACTCATTGCTTACAAGAATGAACTTAAACAACAGCAGGTGAAGCTGTGAAACAAGTCAGAAAGCAGAGGACACTAAATCCCTTCAACCTACTCCATCCATACTGTGTGAATTGTAAGAACTCAAAGACTTCACAAAATCGGTATGCCAGACACAAAATTCTCTCCAACTTTCCTCATTAAACTTACTGCTATTGTTTGGTTAGGCTTAAATCGAGATAGAGGAATGCAAATTATTTATTATACACATTCATTTCTGTTGTCTTATTTATGCTTAGATTTTTTGCGGTAGCAGCATTTTTTAGTGGCTGCTGGGCCAGCGAATAAACTGCAGGAACATAATATGATTTACATTCATAAGCATTCCTGGTGTTGCTCTCACAACTACAAAGCCGTCTGAGGAAGGAAACAGGACCATCTGTAACTTTCTCTTCTCTCAGTGGAACAGCATACAAAAGTTATACAGTACTAAAAGCCTGTGTATATTTGTGGATGTGCAGGGTAATGCAGTGATTCTGAGATGCCTGTTGTGATGTTGAAAAACAAAGGATTGTGTTTGTGAATCCTTGTATCTGCATCTCCATATTGGGCTATCTAAGTACTTTTGAATGCATGTATCCGTAAGGTAAAGTATTAATTCACAGAGGAAACACCTCAGGTTGTCTGAAGATTTCTCAGAAATTCTGTTGTGTAATGAGAAAGCTGATGCCACCAGTGAACAGGGTTAAATCAATATTTTACAGTATTTATTGTTATAGTTTTTATTTTGACGCACAAATCATGGTCAGAATTATCTTATTTCACTCCAAATGGACTGTCCTCACAAAGAAAAATGACATTTGCATTTGTAATGTGTTCAACAGGACCTACTGTGTGTTAGTGTTTATCTGAAAAGGACCTCTTGCTGCTGAGGTGTGTGTGTGTGTGTGTGTGTGTGTGTGTGTGTGTGTGTGTGTGTGTTTTCTGTCACAGACAAAGGTAGACATTGTTATTAGGGCTGCAAAACCTCTGAGGCAGGTTATTTGTCCCTGTTTTCTTCCAATTGTTCAGATTGGTTTGTTTGGTTTGTGACTGTGATTGTTTTTTAACTTAAAGGCTCCGTAATCAATATTTTGTATTAACCATGGTTCAGATAAATGTGAAAGGTATGGTGTGAAAGGTGTTGCTCAAAGTGAGGATCCCAAAGGCAATTGATCACCCATTTATCTCTCTCAGCACTACAGAGTATTTTAGCATCTTTCATTGTTCTGGCTCAGACAAAGTTAACGGCTAGCTGGTGAAGATAGTGGAACATTTAGCATCTGAAAATCCAGATACTTTTGTCAGTAGTTGATAGAGACCTTAGACTGTACAAAAATAAATGGACGTAGTCTCCATGATGTCACCCATAGGTATCTGAAGAGCCGTTGTGAAGCTCAGCGAGGTCGGCTCTGGCCGTTGGCATCTCGGCAGTCTGCTGGCTCTTGGCTAATCCAAAAATGGGCGGAGCTCTGGCGGGCCAAATGAAATGCATATCAGTTATATAAAAATTCTAAATTCCTACGGTTGTCATCAACAGGGAAATTAGTGTCCAAAGACAGCCCCAGGCTTAAACATGTTTATCTCTGCTTTAAAGTTGGGCATTTTAATATGTGGGCTTATGGAGACTGACTTGCTTTTGGAGCCAGCCTCAAGTGGCCATTTGAAGAACTACAGTTTTTGTTACTTGGCACTTCACGTTTGCTTCATCTCCCAGCCACGGAAGTTGCCGCTTGTTGAAGTTCTAAAGACTTTGTTAGGTGGCCAGAAACACGACTCCAAATTAATGAGAACGTTGCTCAGGGACTGCTGGATGTTTAAGTAAGCAACTGTTGGGTTTAAAGCTCATTCTGCTGCCTCCAGGTAGCCAAACAAATCAGTTAATGTAGGTTTAACCCAACCGTTTTTTTAACTCAACCTGTGATATCATTCTAATTATAACCAAGATCTTTTCTGTACCTAAATCTTACCAAACTATAATCACTGCAGTGGCAGGTCAGAAATCGTTCATACAGTATTTACCCTTTTTGTAACAGGGAAATGTGACTGTTTTGGATGGCACTAACAAAAAATGCCATCGTGCTTATACTGCATAATAATGTATCAAAAATGTAATAAATACAGTCATATAGATTTACTGAAAGAAATACTTAAATGCGATTACAGTCTGAATTTGCATGTTGATTTCCCTTATGAAGGGAACAAACAGATATAAGTATCTTTCCCTCTTACTGTGTTTGAAGAACTAACAGCGGAGCCAAGTTCCTTTGTTTATTTAATCAGCCTTCTTTGCTGGAGGAAACCCAAGTGAAAATGACACCATTTTCTGAGAATTTGCAATTCCTCTGAGCTGAAAACAACCAGGCCAGCAAAGCATGTCATTTTATCTCTCAGAGGGTGTGCGAGACACCCTCAAGAGCAAACAGGGCTTGGTTTTGTGTTTGCGTGGGCTTGCATGTGTGTGTTTGAGCAACAAAAAAACCCTCAGCAGCACACCAGACGAGGGAAGCAAATGAGTACCTTTTCCTTTTTCCATGTTGATAGAAGAGCCTCTATATATTCCTGTTATTTCTCAACAGGGGAAAGTGTACATACTTATGCCTCCATGAGCTTGTGTGCGCACTGTTGCTCGTATGCGTGTGCTTTTGTTTGTGCGTATCTGGTTTTGTGTGCCTTAAGTTTTCCCGCAATGTCCCATTGTTCCCTTATAGTTTTAAGAGACCGGAGGCAGTGCTTGTTTGCTTGTTTAATATAAATTCTGACTAATGCTGCTAATTTACAGTGACATCTTGACGCTTTATCTTACACACACTTCTATAAGAGATAGAAATGACTTTAAAAGTATATGTTTCCACCTGTGGTTTGTTTGTCAGTTTGTGTTATGTAGTGTGTGGGAGTAATAAATGCTCATGCATACGTGTCTACCACCAATACATTTGCATTTTAAATTCTTTTTAGGGAATGCTGTATTCTTAGGTTGGGGAGAAAGCAGTTTAAATGTGTGATTGCTGTAATGCTAATTTAATCTCTCCCCTCTTCTGGACAGGTGCAGCGTCAGAGAGAGACTGGCAACAAGAGAACAAAGTACTCACAGAAAAAGGTACTGTGCACACACAAACACAGACACACTCGTACGTGTTGAGGCGCATTAATGAACATCCATATTTTTCCCCCTGGCTATAGTGTAATGTTCAATTTAATGGTCTAATGTTCCTTAATGACTGCTTTATGTGCATGGGCTTATTGTGCATCTATCAACCTGAAGCACATCTAATCAGACAATTAGCCCTCATCTTGGGCTAATTCCCATGTATGTATTCATCACCACAACTGGATGTCTAATAGGAACACAAAAGACTGTCACTTTTTTATAACATGGTAGAGACACACACACACGCACGCACGCGCACAGACACACACACACACACACACACACACACACACACACACACACACACACACACACACACACAGCTGTCTAGCTGACTTTCTGGACAAACAGAGCAAAGCTTAGCATCAAACAAAGACAAATACAACTGGACAAATGGATACTTGACTGTAGACCAACTGATGTTGTACAGTTAAATCCAGAAGTGTGGACCTGAGTCACTGGCTGTTGTGATTGTTTCAGTAAACTGACAAAAAAAGTCACCCAGTGCAAACGTGCATCAGAGAGCATGTAATCAGCTGTTTATGTCACCAAGATCTCATCTCTGACCTGTGCAGTTGGGCTCCTGTTATTTTTTCTTAAATTCTATGTAGATGACTCTTCTTCTTCTTGTCCACTAAGGGATGAAAGATTATCACTCACAGCTGTCATTTTCTGTGCACTAATACCATAGATAAAACTTCAAAAATCCAAATAACAAATATACACAAACAATAATATTCTTTAAGTCTGTGCTAGAACAAAGATGACATTGGCACATTGTCTCAATATCATTTTTATTTGTTGCAAGTCTTTCTTTGCGTGTGCTTCCCCCATTTTGTAATTTGTTGCTCCAAACAAACCCTCATGAGCCAAAGGTGGTGGCACAGCTGAGATTTATGTTTTGGTAGTCACTTCAGCACCAAATTAAGATACCACTAGCAACTCGGAGGAGCTCTTATAAAGTGAAAATGCTAAGAGACCATTGTCTTGGTTTGCGTTGACATACAAACAGAGCTATCCAAAGTCACTTAAACTTAGTCACTGACCTCTTTCCCTTTGATATTCATTTTCATATAGTATACATGTATTGTGAAGCAAACAAAATACACCTTTCAGTGCAGTTAAGTTCATTGTCTTCAGTTAGATTAATGAGGGATAAGTTTTGTAGAATGCACTGGAGCTTTAGCAATGATATGTACATTTCTGCAGTTAGATTCTGATTTGGGAATAAGCTACACTCCTCTGCCTTATTACGCATGGGTTTAACAGCTAGGTTATGCTCATCACTTAATTAAATTTTCAGCCCTGGGATCTGACAAAAAGAGTACATGACCTACTGTGCTTATTTACACACCGGACTGGTAAGATATTCCACACAGATTTCCATTTTGAACAGTGATTATCCAGAGTGTCACAGGTGTCCTCAGGATATGTCCCAAGCTCCAAAACTCTTAACATAATTTTCTCTGGATAATGAAAATAAAGCTTGTAGTTGTTTAAACAGGATTAAGATCAAGAGCTCTCAGTTTTATACTCCATGACCATTGCCTTTCACACAGTCTTTGCTGTAGTGCAGTGACATTATTATGTGCATATTAATCCCCTAGACACAATTTAATGCAATGTTTCAGTAGAGTAATTAAAAAAACACATCTAAAGTACTACAAGTTACTGTAGTATAGAGTTTAGTTTACATTGTGGTTTGTTTTGAACTCTTTCTGAACAGTTGTAATCTGATTGCTCTACTTAACATTACTAGGTGTTCCATTACAACCGCCACAATGACTACTGTACATGTTGAATCATCAGACGTGAGGGCAATACCAATATAAGGAATGAGCTGGTTTGACTGTGTAACGTTGTAATCCTGTGTGTGTGCGCACGGCTCCGTTTTTTCTAGAGGCTCAGAGATTTCCTATTTTAGTGGTTTGATCTTCAATATATGAGGTTAACTCCAAAGAGCACACCCTAGTGCCGTGTGTGGTTTGCAAATAAATTCATTCCACAGAAGAGAATTTTGAATTTGAATGAACAAGGGAAGATGTTTGGAGGATATAAAATCTTCGTCGTCTTAATGGAATACTTGGAGAGCAATCGATTGCAGCAGAGAGAGTAAAGGGAGTAAAATGAAGGACAGGGAGAAAAATAGAGAGAGAAAGCAAAATGGTCACTGTCAGTGTTTTTTGGCATTGTCGTTTCTTATAGTTATTATTTCTGCACTTATTAAACACGAGAAGGCGAGCCACCCGCTGCACAGACCATGATTTGGAATCTTCCAAACTACTAAACATCATACAGCAGAAAATATATCTCAGAATGAGTTCTGATTGAGCTTAGCTTCTGGTTATTAGCAGAATGAAAGCCTTTGTGTCAACTGTGGTTATTGAAACAGGTGGAAGAAGAAGGTGAACAAGTGAGCGAGGACGAAGAAAGGCAGGGCAAAGAAAGAAGCAGCATAAGCAGAGTGGGGGATAGGAGGTGAGAGTGACAGCAGTGGAAGCCTTTGATCTCGGGTTTCTAATCAATGGGGATTATGGTCTGTGTGCCTGTGTCAGTCCTGATTATGGCAGCAGCACTAGGAGACAGTGGGGCATCCAGAAGAGTTGCAGGCAAACAGCTCCTTATTCTAAGGGGAGGTGCACAACCCTGTCTAGATGCATCTGATCCAGACGTCTGAACTGTTTGACAAGACTCAGAAATTCAACGTGCAGCTGGATTTAGCATTTAAAAAACAATTGAGAGTGTGACTACGACCCTAGTGTGTAAACTGTCGCCACACCCGAACATGCAGTAGTCAGTAGAGACAGTGCTGTCACACGTAGTCAACCAAAGTGCTACATCAGGACTCTGATATGCCAGCAGTTTCGGGAGTGTGTCTCCACTATAGGGAGTAAACATTGTGAATACATGACACAGGAAATCATATGAAACCCAACATTACAGAAGACTTTAAACTGCAGTGCAAGGACAGATAGACCCTGGTGAATTACTTTCAAATCTTTGAATGTGAATTCTTTCAACTTCCACTGACAGCAGGCAGATTTCACCCTGTATATCGGGGGGTAAAGACAGCTTTTGGAATATGATGGATTATGCATCTTGTCCTCAGTTTTTTCCCTGTCGTAACACATACCAATATAAAAAACAAAACACACTGTTTAAATTAGTTGGGGGGTTTTTTTGCGTTAGTTTGGTAAGGTGGGGCAAGGCTATATGACTAAGTAAGACCAAAATCAGTATCACAGTAATTTGATTCGCCTCAATGATTTTAAACTTAGAATATGAAAAGGTTTAACATTCCCTTACTCGTGCCCTGGCTTTTAAATGGCTATATTATATATGCTCAAAGATCTTGTGTTAAATTTGCTGAACTATGAAATTATGCTCATCATGTTGCATATTTCTTTAAATCAAGAAAATATTTATTTTATTGATGTTTATAGTCTATATGTAACCTTAAAACCCCAGTTTACTATAGACATATGTGTATCTACTATGTACAAGTTTTGAGGAACAAAAACAAATACTAAATACAATCTACACTTTAAAAAATTTGGGCTGCATGATATGGTGAAATTCTCATATTGATGGTGGAAGTGTGGGAATTCTAATTTTTTATTCCAAATAAATTTTTTCACAGAAATATGACTTTTTTGTGGTCTGTAGCATCTCTTCAGCCCCACAGTGTGTCATTATAGTTCTGCACATATTTTACCCATATAAAAAAAATGCTTCTTCAGCAGTTTGGATTTCTTTTTGGACTTCTTTCTTTTTACAATTTTGATAATATTGCAATTACAGTCCCCAGGCTTCAGGAGATGCCTTCAAAAGTTCCTCGGAAATATTTTGCCAAACATACCAACATGAGTAGGTTTAGGTTGGAAAGTGACTTCTAATATTAACATCTGTATATTTTCAGCTATGTTATATGAACCGGGTTCTGAAGTAAACCAGGGGGCCTCTCCTGGCAACACTTTGCCAAGCAGACTTAATAACCCCTATGAGCAAAATTGTTCAGCAATTGAAGGATTATATCAAAGTTTTGAAAAAAGAGTGGCTGAAAAGTCGTTTGGCAACGTACATTTTCTTTTCCAATCACAGTGCCACTTAGAGTGTAATTCCACTATCCCAAGAGTACCAATGGTAGTAGGTAGATTTTGAGTGTGCTAAGTGTGGAGAAATCTAAGAATAATGTATTGCCACACAGCCAACCCATGCCATCCACTTTTTCCCCTAACTAGTTTCAGTGGCGAAGAAATGTCTAATTAACGCTTAGAAACAGGAACTGTCCTTTAAATTATGCTTGTTTTATTCATAACTGTTCCCTCACTGGTGAGATTTTGTTCTATTTCTACTTTTGTTCGGTTAAGACCATGCTGCTGAAAACACTCAGAGCAGTCTGTCACTGTGACAGGCTCTCTGCTAATGAACTGGACCTTTGTATCTCCTCCTCACCAGGCTTTTGCTGGAACTGATAGCATCACAATCTGATGTCCTGGTACAGAGATGTTTCAGAGATAACCCATTCAGTCTGACCTTACCTCCCTCTGTACTGGAAGCTTTCGCCAATTTGACCGTGTTCGTGCGATCAATACTGGATGTCTTAACAGTCTGACCTCACCTCTTAAAAACCTGAACTTTCATTTAAAATATGATAGTGATGCCTGAGTGGTTTTCTTCACAGTGATTATGTTCAGATAAATCAATAAATAATTTCTCTAATAGTATTATGGTGTTTAAATAAACAATAGTTACTGATACATGTGTATTTTCTCTGTAGTTTTCTTACATAAACATGACAGATAGGTCCCTCAGTTATACCAAAGGCAGCTTAATTACCAAAATGCTTTACAGGCTGTGCTTTGTTTCTTCTTTTATTATCTCTGCCGTGGAGGTTGTGTTTTTGGTGCAGTGTGTGGGTTTGATTGTGGGTTTGTTTTTCTGTTAGC